AACCCATTGAGATAACAAATGTCCTAAGCGAAAAAGGCTTTAGCGCTAGAGCAGTAATAAATATTGTTAACAAAGATAAAATCCCACAACCTATGTTTAAAGTTGAACTTCACCCGGAAGTTTCTAAGCTTAAAAAAAATGAGAGCCATCCCATCTACAACCTACAGTATTTACTTCACCGCAGAATTAGCGTTGAGGAGCCCCACAAAAGAAATGGTTCGGTGCAATGCACAAACTGCCAAGAGTATGGCCATACTAAGTCATATTGCACTCTTCGTACAGTGTGCGTAGCTTGTGGCGAGCTTCACCATAGTTCCGAATGCGATAAAAAAGCATTAAAGGATACCAACTCCAAAAAATGTAGCAACTGCAGTGGAAATCACACTGCAAACTACAGAGGCTGTCCTATTTATAAAGAACTAAAGCACAGGTTAGCTCTGCAGAAAGAAGCGTTGCGTAATTCTACAAGAAGCAACACCATTAAATTAGTTGAAGTACCTCAACCTTTAACTTCTAAGCCTGTTACACCAGGTGTTTCATATGCTAATGTCGTTAAATCTGACAAGCAACAAGCCCCTCCAGTTCAAAGTAATAGTTTGGAAATAATGATCTCCACTCACTCAGAGCTTAACTCAGTTCATGTCAATCATGCAAACTACTCTTAACGAGATAGTTAAAATGCAAAGCCAATTAATGCAAATGTTTTTATCTAAATAATGAGTACTTTAAAAACTTGTACATGGAATGCAAACGGCTTAAGCCAACTTAAACTTGAACTCACAAATTTCATGTCCCGAGAAAGTGTGGATGTAAAGCTTTGCTCAGAAACACATCTAACTAACAAAAATTTCTTTTCTATTCCTGGTTATTTATTCTATAAAACCAATCACCCAGATGACAAAGCACATGGTGGTACAGGTATTTTGATACGAAGGTGTCTAAAACACTATTTTCTAGGTACATATGCTCATAATTATATGCAAGCCACATCAATATGCCTTAAGCACACAGGAAAAAATTTAACTTTATCGGCAGTTTACTGCCCTCCTCGCTTCAACATTACTGAGACCCAATTTACGGATTACTTTTTAACTCTAGGTGAAAGATTTCTTGCGGCGGGAGACTACAACGCCAAGCACACGTATTGGGGTTCACGACTCTGTAATCCAAAAGGAAAACAGCTCTACAATTCAATTGTAAATACAAAAAATGCACTAGACGTAATCTCTCCTGGGCAGCCAACATATTGGCCTGCTGATAACAATAAAATACCAGACCTAATAGACTTCGCCGTATCCAAAGGCATAAGCAAAAATTTTATCTCAACATACACTAGCTGCGATTTGTCTTCTGACCATTCTCCAGTTACATTTTGCTTACTTGATGGTCCTCAGTTATATGACTGTTCCTATAGCCTTACAAGTCCTAGAACAAACTGGCTCAAATATAAAAAGTATATTAACTCACACATACACACAAATTACAAGATAAAGTGTAAGTCTCATATTGAGGACGCAACCTCGGTTTTAAACTCAATTCTGATTTCAGCAGCAGAAAACTCCACCCCTAAAGGCAATAAAATTTACAGATTCAATAGAGTTCTTACAAATAGTGACATAGAGAATTTAGTTTTACAAAAACGTAGATTAAGGCGTGAATGGCAAAAATCTAGGTCCCCTTTAGCGCAAAACTTATTTAAGGAAGCCCAAAGGAGACTTAGATCTGCATTAAGCAAGGAAGTCAAAGTCAGACAATATAATTATATTCAAAACCTATGTCCAAATGGCAAAAACCATTCATCTTTGTGGAATGCTAGCAAAGGTATAAATCCTCCCATAGACTCCAATTCTCCAATAAGAAACTCTCTTGGAAACTGGGCGCGAAGTGATGAAGAAAAATCTAACGTTTTTGCTGATTACCTAAAAGAGGTGTTCCAACCAAATCCTGCAACAGGACAATATGACTTTCCTACTCAAGATCCACCAGCACCATCTATTGACATGAATATCACGGCCAATGATCTTGTCCAAATAATCACAAATAAGTTAGATTGCAAAAAAGCACCGGGATATGATAATATCTCACCCATCATGATAAAAAACTCACCCCTTTTGGCCATAAATTTTATCACAAGACTTTATAATGCCATAATTAAATTTGGTTTTTATCCAACAGAGTGGAAAACATCCATGATTATTATGATTCATAAATCAGGTAAAGACCCCACGCTTGCCTCTTCATACAAGCCAATAAGCTTACTGCCATGCCTTTCTAAACTCTTTGAAAGAGCACTGCTTTTAAAGCTAAAACCGTTCCCTGACGTTCAAAACTTAATACCGTCCCACCAGTTTGGTTTTAGGGAAAAACATGGAACTATTGAGCAAGTGAATCGTATAACGAATGAAATAAGACACACATTTCAGCTCAGAGAATATTGTTCCGCGGTATTCCTCGATGTTAAACAAGCATTTGATAAAGTATGGCATAATGGACTCATATATAAGATACGCTGTTCATTACCTGCAAATGTCCACTCAGTTTTAGAATCGTATCTGCATAATAGAAGCTTTAAAGTGAAATGCAAATCTTATACTTCTAATAATTTCCCAATAGAAGCTAGCGTTCCACAAGGAAGTGTTCTTGGCCCTATATTGTATGTACTTTACACATCTGATATCCCTATAAGTAGTTCAGTTATCACCACAACGTTTGCCGATGATACAGCAATTTTATGCCGAAACAGAAACGCTGTGCTAGCTTCAAACCAACTTCAATCTCACTTATATCGGGTGGAGAAATGGTTGTCAAAATGGCGAATTAAAATTAACGAAGTAAAATGTAGACACGTCATTTTTACCTTAAATCGGAGTACATCTCCAACAATTTTACTAAACAACATTCCCATACCACAAGCAGATAATATAACGTACTTAGGTATTCATCTAGACAGACGACTAACTTGGCGCAAACATATTGAAGCCAAAAAAATTCAGATGAAGCTTCAAGCCTCTAAGTTGCATTGGCTCATTAATAGCAGATCTTTCCTATGCCTAGAATATAAAGTACTCTTGTATAACAGCATCATAAAACCAATATGGACTTATGGTATCCAGCTATTTGGCAATGCTAGTGCTTCAAATATTGAAATTATACAAAATACTAAGAATTATCACTGGTGCCCCATGGTATATTAGGAATGAAAGTATACACCGAGATCTACAAATTCCCCTAGTTAAAGCTGAATTTGACAATATAAGAAAAAATACAATGAAAGGCTGACAGAGCATGTTAATCCCTTAGCAAGAAATCTCGCACTTCTATCCATTACTTCCCGCCTAAAAAGAGCTGACCGTCTAGCCGTTAATTAATATTCAACAGCTTGAAGTAAAAACCGCACCTTTCTTTTTAGTAATCTGTTAAAGTTGAACCACTTTCTTAAGAAACCACCTAACATACACTCCAATGAAATTTAACCCATTAATCTAAGTGAGGTTCGTGATATAAGGTTTACTTATTTTATTTTTATTTATACAATGTATAATTAAAATAAAAATTTGTAACATTATGTAATTAGTTATAAGCTTTTACAACTTATTGTTAGTCTCATTTTAAGAGAAGATGCAATAAATAAATGTATGTTTTAAAAAAAAAAAAAAAATTTATTTCGCAAGTAAAACCTTGTAAATGTCATTGAAAAAGTGTAGGTGTATGGAAAAATCTTTCTGGAGTCTACGTAGTGCAAAGTCAGAGTCATTGCAAAGGTAGGCAATATTTTTGAAGAAGATGTACAATCTCTGTTTTTGCATTTTAATGATCTTGTGGTTTTTTTGTGTAAACTAAAGTTACCAATTTTTTTTTTAAATAATAAAAATAATTTTTTTAATTTTAATATTTCTAAAGTGTTTTTACATGCTAATTGGTCAAATTTTTCAATGTTGAAAATAAAAATTAAGGAAAAGAATTCACAATTTATTTTAGAATAATTTTTGTTTCATCGATATTTCGATTTTTAGACTAAAATGCTCTGGAAATTATACATTATATTAAAATGCCAATCAACATATTAATACATAATGGTGCAAAAAAGCATATATGTATATGTTGAATTTATATATATTTTCTCGGTTTTTTCATTTTTTCCCAATTTTTTATTTTTAAATCAGATATAGCTTTTAGTTTTTTCTTCTAGATTGCTTCTAGATTCTCAATTTCATAAAATCCTTCCTGCACCCCTAGTATATAAAATTTATAATGTTTTTTAGAAAAATATTTCTTTTTTTATTTTTTAAAATTTAGATTATCAGTTTTAAATAACTCAAAAATGTTTCTTATTTGTGACTTACATGGTTGGTTGGTTGCAGTGGCAGGCCATAAGATAACTTCAAATGTACCTCAATTAGCGATTTTTCGCCGTTTTGTTACCACATTCCTCGCAAGAACCCTAGTATAGAAGAGTAGAGACTAAATCCATCCCACCGAATTTAGGTAATTTAACAGGTCTTTCATCCTTACCATTGAGCAGTCTGATAAACTATCACAAAAGTATTTTCCTAAGAACCTATGTCTTCTGGATGCTAGAGCTGGGCATTCACAGAGAAAATGTATTATTGTTTCTTTCTCCCGCGGGTTTCCACAACTTCTGCAGTGAGAGTTATGGGGAATACGCAGTTTCTCTGCGTGAGTTCCTAACCACCAATGACCACTAAGAACCGCAATAAGCCTTGCAGTGTTTACGCGATCTTTTTTGATGAGTTCCAGAGATTTATTTTTATTATAAGTGGGCCACGTTAACCTGGAAGTTGCACATGACCTTAGCGCTTTC